CCAGAAATTGAGGACTGGATACAAAAAGTTCTGTTCATGGCAGAGATGGACAAAATTACGAAGAAGTTGAACAATAAAGAAGACGACGTGTTTTTTCAAGAATGGAGTGACTTTAAAATATATCTGGAAAAGAACTGGGATGTGAAACAAAACTTAATATGTTTAGATCAATATTAAGTCAAATGATGTTATCTTTAGACTGTAATGATAAGAAATTGATATAGTTGATGATATGAAGCAACTTGGAGCGGGGGGGAAGCATTGCGGGAAGCCACCGGAGGGAGGGGAGGAATTGGGAACGGGGTAGACAATTGATAGAATGAAATGATTTAATTTTATATGTTGTATTCCTGAGAAAATAAAAATTTGTTTACCAAAAAAAAAATGGCGATGGACAACATAGTAAGAGCAACAAGTGATATCCAAGCTTTCTCCAGGAAGTGGAAGAGCTGCTGGTTAACCATCTGACTGGAAATAATCATAGACTCTTGCAAAATGTGTCTTAAGCCTTTGTTCCCTGTTGGTATAAACTAGGTACTAAGCAAGAACTGTGCTACATGTCAGCTGTTGCTTTTAAAAGGACTGTGTTAATATTGGAGAAGCGTCTAACCAATGATCATAGGGGCTTCCAGGATCGAAGAGGAGAGTCAAATGGGCATTTGCAATTCGAAGGGCTTGTATGTAGACCATAAGCGAGGCTTTAAGCGAAGGAGTATCCTCCATGGTTATATCCTGATTAAGTCTCCTGGGCAACAAGGTAACGAGACTCTCTTCAAGTCGGGCCGTGAAAAGCAAATTGGAATGACCCCTATGATTGAAGGCAAGAATTTAAGCGGAACAGTCCTGGAAAAAGGAGAAGGGACTTTGTTTTGAGATGGCCAGTTCCTGATACAGAAAGATGGTGCCACAGGGAAGAAGAAAGAGGAAAACAGCAATGGAAGAGAAAATGAGATTGTGTAATATGGTGGAGGGAAAAATAATGGTTAAATGAGATGCCATTGTTCTCTGTAATTTGTGTCTAAGTTAAATAGCGATTCTCCTGGACTACTCTTCATATAGTCAGATTTGTTGGGATGTTTTTACAAGTTATGATGGTGATTGATCACTCTCAATGTTAAAGAAAGCTTTTTATTATTGTTAAGCATTTTTTTTACAAGCTGTATGTGACCTCCATCCCTTGGGTTTTCAGTGGGTTTTCTTTTCTTTCTCCTATAGTGTGTTGTAGTTTGTAGTAAATGCAAATTAAAAATCCCCTAGGGGGCAATAAAAATAAAATAAATAAATTGTCTATCAGTAAGCATTATGGAAATATTTATGGAATTTTGTAATTGGTTACTTTTGAAAATACTTAAATTTGACTTGAAACATGTTAACATTTAGATTTATGTATTCACGTAACACATGAAGGCTGTATAGAGGATAACGTTTGTTTATAATTTTCAGGTTTTACTACATTTCCAGACAAGTAAACCAGATTGTCAAGTAGTAAAGTTACTGCTGTTTTTCTAGACAGAGAATGAAAATAGTATACTGTAGAGTGAGGCAACTGGAAGCAAAATCCAGCTGTAAGAGACACCATCTAATTGTCCACTCTGCAGTGCACAGTATTATGCACAACAGCCATGGTTACTCAAACCATGACAAAGGTGAAAGCTCCAATTTCCTTGACGTGGTGTGAGCAGCATGAATACACCTCAGCTGCTTAATCCTCCATAAAAGTCAAGAAGTATAAACATGAGCAACTGACATGCTAAGGAGGGCTCTACTAAAGCCCCTGTTGCTGTTTACACTGAGAGAGGGGGGATTAGATAGCCCTTTGCCTGAGTCGTCCTGTGTATGGGATTCAACCAGTGCTGATGACTCTCCAGCCATTGTTTCGGTGCAAAATATGCGCCCGCTAAAATTTCACTGATTACCAGAGGGATACCATTTTGTTTCTTAATTCATATGTTTTGTTTTATATTTTAACAGTCTCAAATAAAAACAGTCATGATGACAGTTGCTTTTTAATATACTGACTTTATCTCCACAGAAATTCCTCAGATTCACCACCAAAGGATGAAGAATATAAAGAATCATTAATTTACCATTCAAAAGACCATTACCCCTTATCTGATGGAGACTGGTCTCCTTTGGAAAAGTAGGTCACTTTCTTGAGTCAATTGTCTGCATAAAGAATGGTGGTATCAAAAAAGAATACAACTTGTAAAGGTGTTCTGACCTAAAAATTATCCAATGGAACATTTGATTTATATTATGCTTGGGCTCCACTTTTGTAGTTTGTTGTAGTTATATACCTGTGCCCTTACCATCTGACCTGATATTAGTTTCACACATGTCAGTCAGTTCTGTATGTAGCAATACGTGGAACTCTTTTTGGTCCAACTTTGGACCCTTTCTGATATCTCTCTGAAACTGACCTGGAACTGAGACTCCTGACAAAACAAGTAAGGTAAATTCATGATGATGGAAAGTAGATGGATTACTATAATTATACTGGGGAAATTGTCATTTTTTGTCTGCCCTTTCTCTATCCTTTCCTAGAGAGAGGCTAATTTGAGGCAGATTTCTTGTTGCTTAATGGCTTAGTACAAAATGCTTTCTTCCAAGAGAACTAAGAATTACTAATAGGGAGATACAACGTGGGTTCGGAAGACACAGCCAGTAAATTATTACTGATATCTCATGCTTAGATCTGGAATCCTGGCTGATCAATATGTGTATGTATTATTACATACTTGCCTACAATTAAGTGCTCTACCCTCTTTTATTTAAGTCTTAAAAACATGGACATTCCAGTAAGACAGGGCTATAGGAATTTTGATCACAAGGTACTCATGAAAGCAATTACATAAAGGTTTTCCAAAATGAAGTGTTATGGTGAGAACATTTAAAACATAACAAAAGTAAGCTGTTTAGAATGGACTGTTTGTAATTCTGTTAATGTGATTTGTTTCTAACCTCTTTTTTCACATTCTGAAAACCCAGTTTGGCTTTCTGCCCTGCCACTGAATAACTGAGGCTCTGTTAAACTGGCAAAAACACTCAGGAAGGGGGGGGGGGAACACCCTGAACAATACTGTCTTTAACACAACGACTTTATTCTGTTTCTACAGCCCTTTTAACCAGGCAGCTTGTCCTAAAAGTGATTCAGAACTGGAAGTTAAACCTGCAGAGAGCTTACTGAGAGCGGAGTCGCACATGGAATGGACATGGGGAGGCTTCCCTGAATCAACCAAGGTAAAGTTATATGAAGCGACTTTTTCTGTGAGGTTTCGGTAGTGATGCAGGACTTTTTCTCCTCCTGAAGAGAATGATTCTTTTATCAAAACAACTACATGGTTGTGAATATAGAACTAACATGATAGGAATAACATGAAGGTAGCACCCTCTTGTGGTTTATCACTGTTCTTTTTAAAATGTAGCTGCACTAAATTCTGCGTATTCATTGTGTAGTTATCTGAGTGACTGTGAACTGAGTAAAGGGTATTGTTTGTGTTCCTTCTGCAGAATACTGCACATCTGAAGTCTAATGGTTGCTGTTATAGTGCATGCATATCTCTTTACACGTACAAATGATGGCATCTTACTGGGTCTCCAGTACTGCCTCAGTGGTCACGTGTCTGTCAACACAAGGTCCACTCCTTTAGCTGCTGTGGATCCCAGCCAGTTAAGACTTTCTGCTTGACTTATGTGCCTTAGAAGTCTGGATTTATTTATTTTTTTTGAAAACTGGGAACTATAAGACTTATTTTTCTAATGCATTATCGTTTTATGTAAATACATTTACATTTTGCATGTGGAACTTAAATCGACATGTTTTATTTCCTGTTTGAATTGCTTGTCTTTATTTTCACTGAGATCTGCCTCTAAAATGGATTCTCCTGTGCTTTAAAAGTAGCATACATGGGACTCTTTTAGAAATTGCTTCTAAATGAGCAGATGCTGATGCGTTATGTCTTTGGCACAAGTCTCATTTGGTTTATATTGGGAACCAAGATGCTGCACAGTTGCTGTTTGTAGAACTGTTCAGATGAGATGGTTTAATCTATTATCTTCATCATGATCTAACAAAGTGGTCCAGTGTTCCCTCTAAGGTGAGTTAGTGTGAGCTAGCTCACAGTTTTTTAGCCCCTAGTTCACACCTTTGTGCCTTAGCTCAGGAAGGATGGCTCCAGAGCAAACTAATCGAAGCAGTAGTCAAATCGCTTGCTCACAACCTTAATGCCAGCAGCTCACAAATTTTTGCTCACAAGACTCCACAGCTTAGAGGGAGCATTGGTAGTACCTACCAATACATTTTGGTGTACAATATATTCTGGTAAAGCTGACATGAAAGCTTATACCCAGAATAAAACTTTCAATAAAACAACTCATCTAAAACAATCTATACAAAACATTAAAACCACAATTTACACACAGTATAACCTACTCAAGATGACGACCATAAAGTGCTACATACTCAATCCAGGTTGTTGAATGCTTGGAGGAATAACTCCGTCTTCACCGCCCTCCGGAACTGGTGAAGATCTCGGAGGGCGCGGATCTCGTAGGGGAGCTGGTTTCATAGGGTTGGTGCTACTAAGGAGAACGCCCTGGTTCTGGTGGATGTTAATTTGGCGTCCCTGGGGCCGGGGAGGACTAATCGGTCTTGTGACTCAGATCTCAGTGCTCTCGGGGGAACATACGGGGAAAGGCTAGTACTATTTTATATAAATATTTTATCAGGTATGCTTTTGTTACTGTAAAAAACAGAAGTCTGGATTAGGTGGTCTGTTTCATTCTCAAGATAACCAAATGAGCTTTTGTGGCTGTGAGATCTGAACCTGGGTCATCCAAGTCCAGCACTCTAACCATGACACAGCAGCATCTTTGTGGCTTTGTGGTAAACTAAAGCATGCTTAGAAAAAGAACACTCTTCCTTTTCAGGTAAGCAAGAAAGAAAAACTAGAGCATCCTAGAACTGTCACACTCACCCCAACAGAGAAGACTCACTTCAGAGTCATTTCCAGCACTGACACGGTGGAAGATGACATTTTGGTGAACAATTCCGTTTGCATGGTACTGAAACCCGAACCAAGAACTCATCCTCTCCTTAAGGAGCTAGATATAAGAGACAGACTTGCTTCTACATCGGCAGAATGTGCTCTGGAAATTCTTACAGACCCATCTGCATTGGATACTGATATTCTTCCCAGTCCATTAGTGGATTCTCCATCAGAAACTAAACAACTGGCAAAACTTGACTCTCCATCAAAGAAGAAAGGTATTAATCTTCAAAAGATTTCTTTTAACAATTTTTTATTTTTCCTGTTAGTTCCCAAATATTTAACCAGTTTTCCAAGGAAAAACATATTTGCAACTGCTCATTTAGAAAGGTACAAGTAGGGGATCCACGAGAACTCATTTCCCCTCGCCCACTATTTCCTCTTTCCCCTCCCTGAAAGCCCCCATAGCCTCTCCACCTTTTCCTGATTCCTTCTCTCCTTCCATCCAAACAGCAAACCTACCTTTATCTGTCTCTCTGTCTTCAGCTTTCCCTCCCCCTCTTCCTTGAAAGCCCCTATAGTGTCTTCTCTTTTCCCACTACCTTGTCTCCTTAACACCTACTAGCCAACTTAGCTTTATCTGATCCCCTGTGTATTCAGCTTTACCTTCTTCCCCCCTCCTGGCAAGCCAGCCACAAGTTGTGCAGTAGGGAGCCTGCAAGGACTTTTGTGGGATACCTCACTTTCTCCTGTATCGCCTCCCCATGCTATTTTTCTTTTCCTCTGAGCAGCCTCATATCCTCACTTTAAGAACATAAGAGAAGCCAATTTTGGATCAGGCCAATGGCCCATCTAGTCCAACACTTTCCCCTGCTTCTTTCTCTCCTTCCTACCCACCAACCACCCTACCTTTTATCTGTCTCCCATTTTTAGCTATATTTATTATTTATTTACTTAATTCATATCTCTCCTTTCTCCATAATGGAGAGTCAAAGTAGCTTACATCATTCTCTTCTCCATTTTATCCTCAGAACATTCCTGTGAGGTAGGTTAGGCTGAGTTGCCCAGTGAGTTTCCTCAGCAGAGTGGGGATTTTCATGTGGGTGTCCCAGATCCTAGTCTGAAACTAACCACTGCATTACACTGGCTTTTGTGAGGTGGCTGCTGTTGAACAGTTGCAAGCAGCTAGGTGAGTTGTGCAAGTTAAGCGGTATCAAGTTGACCTGTCTCAAAGGCCAAACGAGCCCTGGAAAGGGCCTTCCCCCCTTCTCAGCCTTGAAAGTTGACAATACTGTTGTGGTTGCCTAGGAATGGCCTCTGAGGGAATTTATTTCTTAAAGCTACAGACACTGCTTCAGTCTTTTGGTGTGGGGTTTAACACCCCCCCCCCCCCCGGGGGGGGGGTCTTTTAGATTTTAAATTTCTCTGCAAACCTTGGGGTATTTTCAGGTTTGTATAAAGATCTGCCTTGTCTGTTTATAGCTTCAGTCTCCAGATTTAAGTATCCAGAGATTTGGCCATGTTGAGAATTAGATATATTGACAAGTGGGGACCCACAAGGAACTTGTGAGAATGAGCATCCCCTTCACCCTGCCTTTGCTCCCCCACCCATTCTCTGTCTCTTCCCTCTCCACTCCCTGGGCTGTTCCCATGGCTCAGGCTTCTGCTCCCCCCACCCTTTTTAGCACTTGTACCTCAGCAGAGCACAGGAGAAGGAGCATCGCCACCTCAGCATCAGGATGGCTTAGTCTCACACATCCTCCTCGCCTGTCCCCAGTGTCACTGCCTCAGAGAATACCAGGGCCAGGAGGCTATTAAGCCACTTCTCTGAACATCCCCCATGCCCCAGTAGGAGTCACCAGTGGTCCCCATGACTTCCAGGCACGGGCACTCATTCTCATTCATTCATTCATTCATTCATTCATTCATTCATTCATTCTCTCTCTCTCTCTCTCTCTCTCTCTCTCTCTCTCTGCAAGCTCAAGTATCTACCTCTGAGCACTTTAATGTTTAACGCATCTTTTAATTTTCCCATCTGCAATGTAGACAGTAAAATTATATTGGCTAGGTTGTTCAGATTCAGAATGGATCTCTTCAGCTTTCAGTCACACATTTACATGTTTATTTAAATAGCATGAGAGAGGCTCAAAGATACTTTCAGTGCAACATATAAAAACAGCTTTGCAGAAGTTAGTAATTAGTTTGCTGGGGTTTGTTTTTTTTATATCTGATAAGAGTGCTTCATTAAAACATTAACATGGAACTTCCATTTTTGTTCTGTTGATAATGGCATTTTAAAATGTAGTATATTCACCAGTTGTTCTAAATGAGCACGTTTTCCAGGGACACATAAGAGAAGCCAGCACCAAGGGCCCGATGACATATACTTGGATGACTTGAAGGCTTTGGAACCTGAAGTTGCAGCTCTCTATTTTCCCAAGAGGTACTTCTAATGTGGCAGACCACGCTGAGTATTTCACAGTGATCTTTTGTTCTTTACGGCTGCAGTTCTAGGGGCACTTCCCGTAGCGTAAGCCTCACTGAATAATGTAGAGCTGTTTAGGATTTATATTTTAATCAATAAGGGATTTTAAAAAGCATACATTTGGCTGAATTGAACCCCGGTTGATTAAGAAGTGATTTTGTTAAAATTGTTATCTCTAGAAGAGATTGAATACTTTCTTATGAAGAAATGTTTAAGAAGTTGGAGAGTTTTGGTTTAGGAAAAAAAGACATCAAAATAGGGAGCTTGCAAAAAGTACAGACATCATGGAAAATATGAAGAGAAAAAGCATCCAGTCATAACACTAAAGAGTCCTGATGTACAGTTTCCATACCTTTTTGGAATGTAAATGATTTTGTAAAAGCTTTAACGCTTAGGGGTCTTTTTGTTTCTAAATAATCCATGGATTTTTGCTCTCTCTTTTTTGGGGTGTGGGTGGGGGAAATGCACTGAATTACATCTCAGTTTCAACTTTCTGGGTTTTTCCTCTTGTCCCACACTGTACTGGGCTGCCTCTTATGCCTGAAAACAAACACTTAAAAATAAGCTAGCTGTAAAAAACCCCAAAACCTACTATTACTTCACCCCTCACTCAAATAAGTAAGCCATGATGTTACTGCAGGCTTATGTAATGGAGAATATAAAATGGCTGCCATAATTTTTTCATCCTAACTCCTCTGTAGTCTCACTCTCCCCCAGAAGTTTATAGCAGGAGCCAGAAAGCTTTTCTCTTATTCATCTGAAGCAGAAGTGGTTCTGTTTGGTCCTCCTCCTCCAACTCTTTCCTTTGTAGCTTTCCCTTTGTGGCTTTTAAAAAGAGCCCTGTTTGGTGGTATTACAAATAGAAGCACACAGTGGGAAGGAGAAATCAGCACAGAAGCAAATCTTGCCCTGTCGTGCACCCCCCTCCCTTTTGCAGACCAGCCTGGCTCACATGCCGCTGGTTAGCCAGACAGAAACAATAGAAGAGGGCTAGTGAGAACCTGCTGATGCTGCTTTGCCAACTGCCTGCAGCTTCTCTTGGCTTTGTCACTAATTTACTGAGTGTGCTCAAGGCTGTGTAGAGGACAACACTGCACTTAGGCTGTTTTGCACGCATAAAACACAGGGAAAGATAGTCTGTATGACCAGTTTGGATAGCTCTTCACTGCCTTTATTAAGTAATGAATGAACTCCCATTGGATTGATCTGGCATAGAGTTTGGCAAACCAAATTATTTTCTAAAAACTTAGAAAATAGCATTGTTTCCTCCAAGTCCAGTTCTAAAAATCCAACTCTTAATGCTCCTGGTAGCATCACTAGGGGGAGAGGTCAGTGGCATCTTTTCCCAAGCCACCAGGGCACACTTCTTGACCCTGAATCCCTGGGGTACATTATGATCTCAACAAGGGTCTGGAAAAAAATCCATTGCATATAATTCAGTACAGTGATATCCTTTCAGTTTGTGCCAGAAGCTTGGTTTTACAAATGGCCATGCTGCTTGTTCATAACAAATTGAGCCTCGCTAGTTGCCACAGAGACTTAGGTCAGCCATCAGGCGCTGTGGAAAGTAGACCAAAGGCCCCTGGGCAAAACTGTTTTTCCCAAGGGGCTTTTTGTATGTGTGTTTCTGAGATGCTCCAAAAATTAAAATGGAAAATTATGATGTGCAGTACAGCAGGACTGAAAGAAGACTGTATGACTTGGGGAAAGAAAGGACAACACTATGGGATGGCGCCATTGTGAAAGCTTGTGACCCTCACCCCAGTGATCTTCCATTCCAAATTGTAGCGGTAGGGGAAATCTTACTAGATTTTCATGGCATTAGAGAGAATGTGACATGCCTTCAGTACAGAGTTCCTTCTGTGGTTCTTCAGTTCCTTTCATGCAATGCATTGTTCATGAGTAGAATTTAGTGCCACAAGGACTAAGTGACAGTCACCAGCTTGTATCTTCAGTCTTATAACCCGCTTGGTATGGCTGCTGCCAGGATGGTGTATGGATTGTTCTGTAGCACACTACCACAATTGTCTAATTACATCCTATGATGGTATGTGACAGCTTTATCCACGCTGAGTCAGTACTGGCTGACAACAGTCACACAGTCTCTTCAGCATGCATTGCTAAGACTTTAGCTTAGTGAAGATAGAATGTTTTTGTGGTTGAAGAAGCCCTTATTGCGGCTTCACGGCAGAACGTCATCGTTCAGAAGCAGTACAACTCTGATTTTCATCATGCCCTGCTAGACAGCTAAGAAGCCACAGAAGATAATGGTGAACTAGATGAATCTCTGGCCCAGTCGAGCAAGGCAGTTCTGACATCTGAGAGACCGTAATGATCTGGTGTTTGTTGAAAGTAGAATTTCAAAGCTACATTAGAGTTTCTAACCATCTTTTCACCATGGTATTCCCGATTCATTGCTATTACTAGACAGGTTTTAAAATAATTGGTTGTGTATATGAAAATCTCCTTCTTTTCCTTCAGTGATTCTGATCCAGGTTCCAGACAGTGGGTGGAATCCGATACTCTCTCTGGGTCACAGTCGCCACAATCTGTGGGAAGTGCGGCAGCTGACAGTGGCACAGAGTGTATGTCTGATTCTGCTATGGACTTGCCTGATGTCACTCTCTCTCTTTGTGGAGGTCTTACTGAAAATGGAGAGATATCTAAAGGTCTGTAAGAATCGATTTTATTCTTAGTGTAGTCACAAAAGCCTATATTTTAAATATTCTTGAGAGAATTGATTATTGTGGATCAGAGTGCATCAAAAATCTTTAAAAAGCCATCAAGTAGAGCCATCATGTATCTGTCTAAAAATAGACCAGTGGTTCTCTTCCTGAAGGCATTTTCCTGTTGAGATACAGCAGACTGCCTACATGTGACTGACAGGCTGGCTTGAATTGTGAGATTGGCAAGATGTCTTCTTAGAATGAATTATTATGCTGTTAGGCTTACTGTGATGGGAGACTTTGGAAAAGGGTCATGAAGGTTTTGTTCAAAAGCTGTATTTCAACAAGTTGCTGCTAAACAGATGTATATGTAGGGCAGTCAAGCAATTTAGAGGCAAGTGGCTTTTTAATACTGCTAGACGTATTAACATTTAATTAACATTTTAATCACTGTTGCAACAGAAGCATTCCACTAGATTTTGGAATTCTGTTGAGTACTCAGAAGAATATGTAAGTTAATGTGTTGTGATATTGTGGTAGTATAACAATGACAACAGCTGCAGCCAGCAGTACAGTTTTTGTTTTTTTGTTTTTTAAAATATTTATTCATTTGCAGCCCACCTTTCTTGCTGCGATTCATAGCAAATTACAACTAACAACAATGCAGTTAGAACAGTGTAATACATGTGACCAACAGAACGAGAGAACATTTTAAAATACAGTATAATACAGACAACAAAGCAGGTTTACAAAACCAGAGAACAATGCAGCAAACTATTATAAGCATAACTCTGTTTCGGACTGCAAGCCAGATAAAAATGAAGAAGGAACAGCTCAAAGCCATGTGAAGCAAGTCTGGGCAAAGCATTACAGCATGTGCATATAAATAAACCAAAAAAAGGCTAATTTCAAAGTCAAACTAAAACACAAAGCCACCAGTTCGGACAAATGCTTTGCACAGAAGAGGACTCCTCAGTTTAGCACCTGCATTTACTCAGATTCAAATACCTGTCCCTGAGTTTCACAGAGGTCCTTCAGAACTTGTCAAAGACATGATAATATAATGGTTAGAGTACTGAGCAAGGACTGGAGAGAACCAGATCTAAACTTTCCATTCAACCCTAATGCTGACTGGGTGACCTTGGACCAGTCACCGCAGTACAGTTGCATTTCTGATTGCAAAATAACCTCCTCCTTTTATTCCATTTATAAATATTATTTTTTTAAAAAATTAATTTTCATCTTTGGCTTCTCCTGAGCTACTTCTGCATTACATCAATGTCTGTTGAAATAAGTGTGATTGAGGACAGGCTTACAGGGATGCCACCAAAAGTAACTTCTTCATGGCAAGTGATTCCTGACTCAGTTTCCCAGTGTTGAATCTCCATGCCCAAGGCTTCTGCTAGCTGTGATGTGCAGAGTTACAGCCAGATGGTACTTAAATATGCCATGGAAGGGAAATGAATACACTCCCATTTGAACATTACAGAAGTGCAGAAATGAGAAGCGGTATTCAAGTGCCATTTTCAAACATTCGTTATAACATAAGAGAACTCTTTCTGCTGATGAAAGTAAAAGCCCCAAGAACTCTGACCATTTCCCAGAACTGGATTATATTTGTCAGTTGCCAGAGTACGTTTTTTTTAAACAAATGTTTGTAACTACATAGAAAACTACACTTCCTGTTTTCTAAAGTCGCTTTGCTTTTTTCATTGCTTCCTTTATGTAGGGTTGCATGGGTTTTGAGCTAGAGTTAAGGGTCTCTACAGTTCATAAGAGCAACATCTAAACTATGTAATTTATATCATTTCTACATGAGGAACTAGATTGAGGTGGTGTTCTTAAGGAGGAGAAACTGTTTTGATAACTGATACAATGTCCTTGCATTGCAGAAAAATTCATGGAGCATATTATTACTTACCATGAATTTGCTGAAAGCCCAGGACTTATAGACAATCCTAATCTGGTAATAAGGATATACAATAGGTAATGTTCTATATATTTTCTATTAAATATTGGTTTTCTATGTTATTTTACAATAAATTTTACCAGTTAATAAGCACTGTAGCAGTTGTTCTGTTTTATTTCACCTCTTAGAAATCTCTCCCTTATATATAATTGAATAAGACGCAGAGTCACGCAGAGGAGAGAAAATGCACACCAACAGTGTTTCGACGGCTGAACTGTCCGTCAAAAACTTCCCCCCCTTCCATTGGCCATGTCGCCTACGTCCCACCTCAGACGCAGCTTCACGCAGCGGACAGAAACTGCACACCAAGCGGTCTTTGGAAGCTTGCGCTGTCAGGAGCTTCCGCACCTTCCATTGGCCGTGTTGCCCAGCTGCCGTTCAAGGCTACTGCCCTGCCATGGGCTGGGAGGTGGGAGGCGAGCCCTGTGTCTGAGGACGCGCTGGCAATGCGCCCCACGCCGCGGCCGGATTCCCCTCCCACCCCCACTTCGCCAACCCGCCCGGGAAGCCGGACAGACGGAGGAGCCTTTCTTACGCCTCCCCCACCCGTGTCGCTTCTCTCTCCCACCTGGGAAGCCGGATTCCTTCCACCGCCCTCGCTGGCCTGCATTTTAAACCCCCTCCCCTTCCCTCTCAGCGGGGCGTCCAAGCAAGCTGCTGGAAGGGGACGCGGTTCTCATCCCCGGCGACCGCCGGGTTCCGCCACCTCCCCTTCCCTGTCTGTGCCGCCTTGCTCAACCTCCCCACGTGGCCAGTGAGGGACCCTGCCTGTCTTCGCAGGACGGTGACTCGCATTGATGGGCGGCGGCAGCGGCGCTGAGCCAACCCATGCTGCCCTGTTTATGCCGCTCCACCCCACCTTTGCCAGCTTTTGGGGGCGGCAGGCCAGGTGAGCCAACCCCCAACAGCCTGTTTTTCCCCCCTCCCCCTACCTTCACCAGCTTTCGGGGCCAGCAGGCGAGGGGCGGCGATGACGGCGCTCAGCCCCGGCGCCTCCCTCTCACCATAGGAAATGCTGGAGGTAGACCTGGACTCTCTTTTTCCCCCATTGGACTCTCCATGGCAGTAGACCTGGACCCCCCTTTCCCCATTGGAACCAAATGGGAGTAGACCTGGACCCCCCTTTCCCCTAGGAACCAATGCGAGTAGACCTGGCCTCCTTCTTGCCATAGGAAACCATTGGAGTAGACCTGGACTCCTGGACTCCCCTTTCCCTATAGGAACCCATGGGAGTAGACTTGGACTCCCCATTGGGATCCATGTGAGTAGACCTGGGCTCCCTCTCGCCCATAGACATCCATGGGAGTAGACTCACTCACCCACCCTACCTGTCTAGGTGTTCGTTGTCACCGTCCACAACGGGCTTTGCTCCCTAGTGGTTCATAAATCTGAACACAACTTAATGAATACCTCATTATTACGTAACATCATAAAAATTTATAGCATACTATTTGAGCTGCCACGGAAGGAAAATAAGCTACAAGAAATACATAATCATTTTATTTATTTCTGTTTTTACTAGTGTGTTTCATCACAGTTGTTACACTTTTATTGTATGTATATTCTGCAATTGATCCATAATGATGAACTGTCTTCCATATAACAGGTACTATAACTGGGCATTGGCTGCTCCCATGATTCTTAGCCTGCAGGTGTTCCAGAAGAGTTTGCCACAGGTAATGCAGTGAATTGGATGGGAAGAAATGAATATGCCAAAATATGTGAGATCAGAATATCATTTTAGGGTGCGATCACACGGGCCAGAAAAAATGGGGGGGGGACCGAGGCTATTTCTTCCGGAGGAATTTGACCTGCAGTTGCGTCACCACACCTCCCTTTGAAGCTGCGGGCAAAGCAGAGGGCGCAGTCCGTCAGCATGTGATCAGACGCAACTGCGGGTGAGTCAGGGGGGTTGTGCCGTTTTTTCCCCATGCGCTTAACTGAGGGATTGATGAATTGCACCTCCACACCGAGGGCTCCCTATGGTGTTTGCAGTGGTGCGGATCCTGCGAGGGGGGGGGGACAACGGCACGGAGTTGGGATGGGCTGATCAGACCATCCCGGTGCCATGAGAGCGCGCTGGAGCGATCAGACAGGGGAAAGTTCATCGGTGGCCCATCATAACCTGTTTACTATCAGGTTTCCCCCAGTGTCTTTTAACTCTGCTTCTGTGGCAGAGCAGAATGGGTTGCCGACGGCTGCAGGGCACTTCCCAGATGTTGTTGTCTGATCGCGCTGTTTAAATCCGCCCACATTCACGCCTATGTCGGGTCTAATTGTGCGTATGATCGCAGCCTTAGGAAGGAAGGGCTTTGCTTCCTGTTTGCCCCACAGTCCTCAAAGTGTTGCTATGGGGACAGGGGACAGATCAAAAGCTGGCATAAAGCTAGGACAGGGTGCCCATGTGATCATGTCTCCAGATGCCTTTGTGCCATTGGAGGGACTTAGGGGCATCTTAGCTTTCTGTGAGGGAAGAAGCACCACTAGGCAGGCAAATGGCAATATGTGGGCAATTGGTATGCTGTTTCTAAGCTGGCATACCCCTCTCTACGGAAACTATGTACCTCCAGTTTGAGCATCCCTAGACATAGAGAGAGATATAGATACATACACTACATTATTGCCCTGGCCAGGATGTCCCAAGCTAGCCTGATCTCATCAGATTTCAGAAGCTAAGCAGGGTCGGCCATAGTTAGTGTTTGGATGGGAGGGTACGAAGTAAGTCCAAGGTTGCTATTCATAGGCTGTGGTCACACGGAGCAGTAAGCATGCAAGAGGGACGGAAGAGAGGCGGAGTTTCCGGGCGCGATCTCACAGCAACATCTGGGGAGCGTAGAGCTCCCATGGCTGATCCGTGGCTACCGTCCGAAGAC